GGAGGAATATTTAGAACCATAAAGGTTTGACCCACTGTACATTTTCCTATTAAGTATCATCCCGATCCTGAATATTACTTGTCATCCTTTTATGCCCCTGTTTAAAATTCTCCCAGGCCCCAAAATACTGTTGAAGACAAATTTTCACTCGAAGCCTCCCACTGTATACCTCTTCACCTTATATTGGCTCCTTCACTGATCATGTATTCTGAGCTCCAGCTTTTACCTTTCCTATTTCAGTAACTCACTCTATATATCTATAGATAGACACCCAAATCTGTGTCCTTATCTGCATAAGTGTCTTCCTTCTTTGCACTGATAGACAAACTGACCTAACGCCCCTGACTCAATTTACTTGTCCTCAACTGCTGAAGCAACTTGCTGTTATATTTTCCCCCTTCAGAGATTCAGTCTTTTCCTCTTCACTGAATTCTTCTACCTCCCTTAACTCTTTACCTACTCCTTACCTTCTTAATAATGTGAACTTTTTATTCTCACAATTTTACTAGAATTGTTCTCTTGGAGGCCCTTAAAAGATAATCTTCTTACCAAATCTACTCGAAGTTTTTCTCCTTTCATTTCTTCAACATTGTTAGTATGTCTGATCCTACTGACTTCCTTTTACATCTTGAAATTACTTCTTTTCCTTGGTTTCTCTGATCTTAAACAGGCTTCTGGCTTTCCTCTAGCCTACTGAGGCAAAAACTATTTAGATTATTCAAGAAAAGTGTGGGCACCTTGCGCTGTTGTTTCAAGAAAAGTAGGTATCTTCTGGGCAACTTTGAGACCAGCAGCTCCCTGCTTCTCTTCCTGAGCACTACTCCCCCCTTAAGAGGGTGAGAGAGTCTCTTTACCCCCTTTCTCAAGGCCTAACGCCTTTGTTCTTCTGCCAACTAACCTTCTCAGGTCCTTCCCATTTACTTGAAGACTTCAGAATGAGGGCAACACAATGAGTGAGAGTCTGAGAATTTTTTTTTTTTTTTATTGAAGTACAAGGGACATAAAATGTTATATGAGTTTCAGATGTACAACATGTTGATTTGACAATTTCATACATTATTCAATGTTCATCATGGTAAGTGTAGTCTGAGAAATCTTTTTAAAGATTTAGCTATTAGAGAGAGAGAGAGAGAGCTGGGGGAGGGGCAGAGGGCAAGAGAGAATCCCAGGCAGACTCCCTGCTGAGCACAGACCCTGATGCAGAGCTCCATCCCACCACCCTGAGATCATGACCTGATCCGAAACCATCTGATGCTCAAGGGACTGAGGCATCCAGGTGCCCCTAGTCTGAGAATTTAAGGGTGGCTTCCTAAATTAGTTTTGCTTCTCTTCTAAAACAGCTAGAATCAACTAGATTATATACGAGAAAAAATTTTATTGATTTGAGTTCGTCTTCTTTGTCTTATTAAACAATTTATTGAAGATTGTAATAAGCAGGGGAATTTCAAACAGTAAGGATTCTGAATAATCTACAAACTTTGAATTGAATTATTTGAATCTTTGAGTTAGTCATTCAGTCATAATTGATTTTGTTAATAATTATATAGTCAGTAAAAAATGTATCTAAATATCATAAAGCAATCTGAAGCATGCTAGTCATTTAATGTCAAGTGAAACAAGTATTAAAAATGTATCATTATAGATATATAAAATAAGCCTAAAGACACAAAAAATACTTTAAAAAATTTACTGAAGTGTTAGCAAAAGTTAGGTTCTAGTGCTATGGTTTTGTTTAGTATTCACGTATGGGTTTTTAAAGGAAAGATTGGTTTTATTTTTTTAATTTTATTTTTAAGTAATCTCTACACCCAACATGGGGCTTGAACTCACAACCCCAAAATCAAGAGTTGTATGCTCTACTGACTGAGCCAGCCAGGCATCCCAGAAAGCTTGGCTTTAAAACACAAACAAATCTCAAATGAAATCTCCCATCAGGTAACTTGCTTCCAGCTGGATAACTTAGATGTTCCTTCTCCATGGCTCCTGATGCTTTGCATGTGTCACTTATTTTATTCCACAAGCTAAACTAAGAAGGAATTTTGAACACATATTAGGGCTATTCCCATGCTCTTTCTCCTTTAGGAAACAAGGCACATGTTGAATTATTTTTTTAACCCATCCACACCAATTTCATGAGCTTTTTTGGAATATACTTTGTGAAGTTTCATAAATAAGTAGCCAACTAATGAGATTTTTCTAATGCTTAATGAATCAAACAAGAAAATACCATTAATATGTAATAAAGTATAACTTAACAAAGTTTGCCTTTTTCTTTTTTGCAGCCAGAAATGCATGCTAAAATATTTATCTTTTTAAAGAGCAGCATTTAAGTATCCAAAAAATCACCAAATAATCTCTGCACAAGTGAAAATAAGTTGCAAGTACTGCATGTGAAAGAAATTCATCTTCTAGACAAGAAGCCCACCATCACCACTGAAATAACATGATAAATATATGATAAACAGCAATGACAGATGCAGGTACTTTCTAAAATAATACAAAATGAGGATTTCAGGGACACATAATTTAAATTGCATCCCAGGGGTATATTTTCATCTTCTTATCAAAGAATTTACATTCATAACCTGTCACACACAATTACAATAAAGAGAGGTTTGTGATGTGTTTGTGTTTCTTTCTTTCTGTCTTTCTTTTTTTTAACAAGAAAGCATACAATGATAACTTTGGAGTGCTGACTATAGTAAACAAATAATTTGAAATGTTTCCCCTGTCATGCTAGCAAAGTAAATAATCCAATTTGCAAATTCCAGAGGTTTTGGGGATTACAGTGGTGCTAATGTTTTAGACCATAGGTCCCTGTTGGCTCATACCTTTTCAAATCAGTATTTTCATAGTCACTACCCCTACTTCTCCCTTCCCACAAAAATATTTGCACACATTGAAACAATGAGATTCCTGGCATACCCATAGGCCTTCATAATCTCTCCCTTTTGTTCTGCTTCTGTTCTCCAGCAGAATGAGAGAAAGGGATTTTTTTTTCCTTCCATCTTCATTTTAGTATAGCTTTTTAAAACTGAATGTTATTTACATTTCCTTTGAAATTGCTTTTTCAATTCATCACATTGCTGTGTGATTTCCTTTTAAGTTTGCATGTAGCTTAACATGGTTTACAAATATTCTGTGGGCAGAGTGGATGTAATATTGTCCAAACTTGATCCTTCATCTTTAATTATAACTCATGTATTGACTTATTTAATTAAACCCTCCCAAGTAGATCACATTGTTCATAATCCTCTAGAGCTGCACTGTCCAATATGGTAGCCACTAGCCATGTGTAGCTATTTATATTTAAAGTAATTGCAATTAAATATAATTTAAAATTTAGCTGCTCAGTCACACTCACTATACTTCAAAAGCTCAATCACCATATGTAGCTAGTGGCTATCATATTGGACAGCACAGATATTGGAGAACTTTTCCACCATCTCATAAAGTTTTATTAGACACTATTACTTTAAAGGAAGTCTCATAAATTGAGGAACTACAAATCTGGCCTTCTTGAAGTGTAATAAGTCGGAGGTTTTGGGTTCCTTACTTAATGTATTAAACGCAAAATATACCAGATAGAATGTGTTGATTAATATGTAAGTGGAAGATAAAACTGACACGTTAAAATTTATCCAATACACATTACACAAAAGGGAAAACAAAACATCCAAGCTATGGTGTACCTACATTCCCTGCTCCTGATTAAAACTCTGACTCTTGTAAGTAATCCTCGATACTACTGAGGCTCATTCAAGCCTAACTTTATTACACACCCACTATAAACAAGTTGATGAATCTGCACATTTTGTAGCATAGGAAAACAAAAAAATCAAGAAAACGTCCTCCATTCTAGTGGGGAAGATAGTCATGCACTTAAATAAATATAGTTCAAGGAGGGGCATAGTCAGACTATGGGTCTTAGAACTTACGCAATTTGGAAAACACTTTAAAAAGACAAGAACCACCACCCCCCCAATTGCAAATATATAAAATTATGATCATGTGAACACATTGCCAAGGCCACTCCCAGAATTTTGGAAGAACCTTGTGCAAATAAGCGTTCCTGAGTTTGAGCTTCATTAATTTAATGTAAAGACTCTTCTGAGTGCGAAACAGAACATAACAAAGGGCTATGCACAGACAGTAGGACAGAGTAAGAGTAACTGAAAGTGATGTGGGAAACAAAGACAAAAGAAAAATTAAATTTCCTTACTACTTACAGCCCATTGACAAGTCCTTGAAACAGACAGAGTAACATTCCTCTAGGAACTCAGATGCCTCGATGCTAATACTTTGCTCAGGCCAAGAGGCAATCTTAGCCTGACTCCTAGGATTCCATGAGTCTACTTTAACATATAAACATTCCTTTGGAAACTTCTTTTATCTCTATCCCCCCCCCAAGATATATGTTAGCAATCATCCTCCAGCATATAACCCACCAATATACATCTGAAGGGTTTCATGACTGAACGTTTACTAAACAGTAATAAATGACCTCTTCTTAACAATAGCTGGCCCCCTCAGGATCCTAGAAACCTTGTTTTCAAAATACCTTGGGCTGTCCCTAACCCCTTCCCAACTTGGAAGTATCTAATCAGCCACTCTTCATGACCCAAGTGCAGCTCCTTCTGCCCACAGGTCCTGTCCCCATACTTTAATAAAACCACCTTTTTGCACCAAAGATGTCTCAAGAATTCTTTCTTGGCCATGGACTCCAAATCCCAATATCTTTCCTACATCAAAAGGACTGGAGATGGCATATTCACAGAAAAAGGACTGAAAAAAAAAATTAGTATTGCTAAAATGATAGCACTCTCAGCGTAAGAAATATGTGAGGGCAGAAAGGGTTGGTTCCGTATTTTACTTTGTAATTTCTCACAACTTTTACATTCTCATATTTACATTGAAAATACATTCTTGTGTTTAAATATAGAGTCTGCCCAATTTTTTTAACACACACACACATACATACACACAAAGAAAGATAATACCTGAAGTAGGCACTGAAGACTGGCTTGATGAGAAAAGATGGGTGAGTGTAAGTTCAGGAGGCTGTAACAAAATACTGCAGACTGAGGAGGCTTCAACAGCAGACATTTGTTTCTCACAGTTCTGAAGGCTTAGAAGTCTGAAGTCAGGATGCTACCATGGTGTGGTTCTAAAGAGGGTCCTCTTCCTGGCTTGCAGACAGCTGCCTTCTTGTTGCAGCATCCTCAAAAAGTGGGGGAGGAAACAAGATTGGAGGAGAGATCTGGTATCTATTTATAAGGACATTAATTCCATCATGAGGACTCTACCCTCATGACTTCCTCTAAACCTAATTACCTCCCCAACCCCCCATTTCCTAATATCATCACCCTGGGGCTTCAATATAAATTACTGGGGGGACATTAAACATTCAGTCCACATCAGAGAAGGTCAGTCCTGAAGGAGAGGACAGAATTTGCAAGGATACGAAGTGAAAGATGAAGAGAATGTTGTAAGGTAGTGCTGTTTTCATGCCTCCCTCGTTCCAAATCACAAAATTTTCCACATGGTGTAATATAACCCTCATCCACAATCTCATCTTGACATCCTTAGGGGAAAGGAAGTGGTAAATGTCCAAAATATCCTGGAACTTAAAATATAATATGATAATTAAATCAGCTATATAAAATGGAAAACACAGGTCATCAGGTCATCAAATTAGAAACAAATTAAAAAAAAAAAGATATACTATATATTTTTATACATATATTCTTCTTTAGTCCCTGTGTCAACCTGGGCCCCTTTTGGGTATTTGCATTCTTTTGGGGGGGAAGGGTGGAGGGGACATGAGGTAAAGAAATACAATGAAAAATACTAGAAGTTCCAAAATTTGGCTAAATGGATATTTTGAATAAAGGTATTATAAATCTTTTCTCTGGATATTTTTTGTTAAATTTTCAGGACTCTTTATGTATACCATGAGAGTTCCTTATTTTTCTTTGGATATCTTTGTTTTATAATTTGACTTGTTCCTAGAATTTAGAACTGAAATAGCTATTATAAACCAAAACTGTATTCCAGCTTCACAGGTCTTCTAGAGTTCCTGATGGAAAAGTCTAGCAAAAGATAGACCAGTATGCCTCTGTAACCATAGGAACTGCCTCCCTGAGTCTTGTAATTCAAGGTTTAACTCAACAACTTCAATTATTTTCTCTTGTGGAATACTGATAGTCCACAAGCAGGATCAAGATTTCAACTATTAAAAATCGTTCTACCAACATTTGTGAAGCACTTACTTTATGCAAGACACTCTCCTACAATAAGAATAGAAAATAATAAAACATACTCCTGTTCTCCAAAAAGGAGGGAAAAAGACTAAATGGGCAATTATGGGATAGAGTGAGAAATTATGTGATAGACGTTAGCCTCTGTTTTCCTACAACAAGGTGTACTAGTGAGCTTCACAGGTCAATGAAATAAGTAAACCCAGGAAAAGAAATATTAATGGTAAATTATAATTAATACAAGATGTTGACCACATTTTTTCTTGAGTATTAATTCTGGCAATCATAATTTTACATATTTATTGTAAATCCATATTTTTGTAAGAAATCATTCCTAGTTCATAAAATAGAATTGTCTTGACAAATTTAAAGAACGTGCCACTCCACCAAGACCATTAATATCTTGAATTGCTCCCACCAAAAATAGAATTGCCAAATGCTTTTCATGACTGACAGGCTTTCCACAAAATTTATATGGAACCCAAGTAGTATATGTTTTGGCTTTAGGCTCAGCCCCTTCCCCTTTTTTCTTTTTTTAAAAGATTTTATTTATTTGAGAGAGAGAAAGCAAGAGAGAGAGAGAGCACAAGTGGGGAGAAGAGGCAGAGGGAGAGGAAGAAGCAGGCTCCCCATTGAGTGGGGAGCCCAACGCAGGGCACCCAGCGTGGGGCTCAATCCCTGGACCCTGGGATCATGACCTGAGGTGAAGATAGACACTTAACAGACTGAGCCATCCAGGTGATCCCCCTTCCACCTTTTCCATTAGAAGTCCAGTTTTACCAAATAAATTATAATTCTTGTCATTTTATTGAAAACATTGTGGTAAAGGAGAAGCACCACATTACATGGATCACGGTATTTCACTAGGAAAAAAATATTTAAGTATGAATCTTCTCCCAAAATACTTGTCTTAATTACCAATCACTGGTCTCCCTTTTCTTCTCACCTGCCATGTAGCAGAGCATAGCTCAACCTTACTCATCTCTTTTCTTCCTCCTTTTCCACTCAAAGTATCTCCTTCATCCTAAAATATAGGACACAGACCATAGGATGGTAACTTATCAACCTTAGAGAGAGCTTATTAAATATCTTTTCAAATATCATCTGCTAGGATGGTAACTTCTCCTTATACCATTACACAAAGATAAAGCCTAATTTAATTAAGCCCTCTAAATACATGTCTATATAGCCCTATAACTCTACATTATTAGAAGAAAGGAATAATAATAATAGCTAATGTTTAATGAATATTTACTATGTGCCAGGCACGGATCTAATAGTTTTATATATAAGTAATATCATTTAGCCCTCAAACTAATCTTATGATCTATATAGTATATCCACATTTAATGTTCACATGTATTAAATCAGAAAGCTGAAGTATAGACGCTAAGGAACTTGCTGAGTTCACTCAACTAAAGTCATGAAAATGCAACTTTAACCAGAAACTCGGGTTCCAAAACACAAGGAATCACTTTATCATAGTGCCTCAGCCAGTAACTGAACCCTCAGATCTATTCTAATTTAGGAAGGGATACTAGAAGAAATTATATAGACTCACAAGGAAAATGTTTAATATATAGCACTTACGTGTAAGAAAAAGGACTTCAAAGGGTGGCTCTGAATCCTTGCATGGAGAAAGTAGATGTTGAACTAGATGAGCAGTCTGGTTAAATAAGAACCAGGGAAAAAAATTTCACAAGATTTCTTATAATCTATAATATTTGACATTAAAAGATATGTTCTTTTTCATTCTCTTTATGCCTTTTAACTGATAAGTGCTAGCTTTCAATTAAGGCAAGGACAGTGCTTTTAAATTATTTTCTGTGTTCCAAAATTTTAAACATAATTCTTCACAAATGAAAAAATCTATAAATATCAAAGTAAGAAAAGACAGATGACAAAAGTGGAGTTATGAGAAAAGAAAGTAAACATCAGCATAATTGGCATTTGTTCACCATTTTGTTTAAACCATCCCTCCCAAAAACCTTTATAATTTGTCCCAGTTTGGAGGAATATAATTTTTCAAGGTGCTTGCTTCTCCTACTTTGTCTTTTCTGGATGCTCACTTCTGTACAATTCACTAATCATAATTTTTCTACTATGATATGAGCTGAAAAATAAAATGGGATGAAATTAAGACTAAATTTTACTACTTAAAGAGTTGATAGAAGGTTTACTGAGGACAAAGGAAATGTAATTAAACAAAATCAGATTTTGCGAATTTTCCTGCGCATTGCAATTATACAGTTTTTAAAAACACAGTGCTTAAATATACATAGCTCTTTTTCATTTTAAAACATGAATCCACATACATTTCTGATTTATTCCTCAGGAGAGACTTAACAAAATGCTCTTCGCAGACATCAAGGAAAAACTGAATAAAAGGAGAGCAATTTGGCAGCAACCACAAAAATCATAAAAAGGTATATTTTCCCCAAATTAATCTAAATATTAAATGCTACTTCAGACAACTATTCTAAGTCGTGTTCTCTTTTAGCCTTTGCTTGATCAGATACTGCTGCATAGCCATAAGCTATCCAAAAGCAATTAGGAAAAGAGATTATTTATAATGAAATATAATCTATCTTTACCTCAAAAAATTTCCCCGTTATTACTTTATCTAAGAACTCATGCAACACTATTTATCGAATAACTGTTTTGCACCAGCCATTATATTTAGATACCAGATATAGGTTGAGACTCTAGTGAACTATCAACTCATGACCCCTGGTTTATAAAACCAGGGCTGTAACCATTATCAGCAAAAGGAAGTGGTAAAGTTAATAATTATTCATTGTTTGAGCTTCTGGAAGAAAACTTTTATAAATCTGAGAAGTTATCTTTACACACTTCTTAATGTGTGATAATAACTTCAAGCATTATTATCGTTATTATTCTCCGTAATTATGTAATAATCATGATACCTCATTTCTAACTCTCCAGAGAGAGGAGGGAAAAAAATCCCGTGGGAAGATGATGAGAGAGATTAGACAAAATGGTCTTGATAAATTTTCTATTGTAATTTTAAACAAAGCCCTAGACACCATCTGACTAATTGCAGATATTTCTGGAAAGCTTGAAGGTCTCCAAATAATTAGATTGGGAAGAGGGAGGAAATCAGTCAGGAAGCTGATACCTCCCTGGACACTGCTACAGACAAGTGCCTACAGGAGGGGCAGTGTTGGCGAGTCAGTACGAGCTCTTTAAGAAGAAACACAGTTTTGAAGAACATAAGAACTCCAGAACCAGACTGAAAGAATTTGAATCCCAATCCTGCCACTTGTTTGCTTCTAGGACAGCTAATGTAACCTCTCAGTATTGATCTCAGATGCAATGGTGTGTCTGTCCAATTGGGGAAAACATTTTGGCCGTGAGAAGCGTTCAAGCTAAGCTTCACAAAGAGAAGAAAGAGGAAACTTGAAATCAAATTTAAAATGTATTTGTTATAAGCCGAGCAAACAACAGTGCACTAACCAAAATGCTCTGTCATTCTTCATCAGTCACTGTTACATTCAAATTCCTTTGCTAAAGAACAAAATGTGTCCAGAGGAATAGTAAATCTTTATTTGCTTCATTAAGTCTGCTGAAAACAAAACAAAACCAAAGTTGATAAAGGGATCCTACGAAGATAGGGCTATCATCATTATTCTCATCCAACAAAACATTCTGTTACGGTAAAAAAAAAGTTGATAGAAATGCTTTTTAAGTGTAAGTGAGAGATAATGATAAATATCCACATTGGCAGGAGGCAGGATGTTTTAGCTACAAGATCTAAAGGGGAGAAAAAAGTTCTTCCTTCCCAACAGTCTTCATTTCTTTATTTAAAAGACTGAATTTCTTGCATAGACCCAATTCTTCCTATTAAAAATATTGATGCTGGCTTTTATAACAGCCACAGCTGAGTGATACAGAATTCTGGCTTTTATACTCAATAGTTTCAATACATACCATTATAGCCTATATTCTAGAGTCTTTGCACATTTCAACATAGGTGTATTTGCTTCCAAGAACTGACATAACAAACTACCGCAACTCAGAAATTTATTCTCTCATAGTGCTGGAGGCTAGAAGTCCAAAATCACAGTTCGACAGGGCCGCTCCCTTTGCGGACTCTGGGGGAAATTCTTTCCTTACCTCCTCCTAGCTTCAGGTGGTGGCTAAAAATCTTTGGCACCCCACGGCTGGAAGGTGTATCACTCCAATCTCCGCCTCTGTCGTCTCATGGCCTTCTCCCTTCCATGTGTGGCTGTGTGCCTCCACATCTCCCTCTCTAATAAGTCATTGGACTTTGGCCCACTCTAACCCCGGATAACCTCATCTTAACTTGATTACATCTTCAGAGACCTTATTACCACATAAGGACACATTCAAGGCACCTGGGCTTAGGATTTGAGCATATCTTTCAGGAGACCCAATTTAACCTTTAACAATATGTTAAATGCAACTCTGGATTCTCCGAACCTAGAAGGCAGGAAGAGATGAGGGAAATGGCTATTAGAGCAATAGCTATCTATTCAATTTAAAAAATGTAATCATGAGGTTACAAGGAAGGAAATATTTCTATATGGTCATGCAGAACAAGAACAGACATGCAATGCTGTGAATGCTGACATCCTACATATAAAAAAGGTAAAGAGGAGTATATATATATCCAGGTCAAGCAGCAATGCCCCAGCAGATTATGAAATATTACACCTAGACTCTGGAAATAAGGGTAGGGGATAATACTGGGGAGCAGGAAAGAGGCCTGTCATGACCATCTCACAGAAAAGGAAACTGAGGAACAGAGAGGTTACATTAGCTGTCCTAGAAGCAAACAAGTGGCAGGATTGGGATTCAAATTCTTTCAGTCTGGTTCTGGAGTTCTTATGTTCTTCAAAACTGTGTTTCTTCTTAAAGAGCTCGTTCAAAGGAAATTCTTCTAGTTCTACATAGCAATACAGTATCAGCTATTCCTTGTAAGCTAATACACCCAAGTGCCTTTCCCTGAGCATCTAATCACCCAGGAAAACTTCGCATAAGTTATGGTCACTGAAGTTCAATATTTCTGTTCCTGGATATTTCTCAACCTCTTCATACCAGGGACATAACTGATGAATACCTTCAGATCATGTAACTATCTGGACACAATTCTACTCTAGATAAGCCAACTTATTTGTATTTCTTCCAAAGGTCCACAATCCATGGACCACTGTGCTTTGACCAAGCTATCCAATTCCCTTATAAGGATTCATCACTCTTTTTCTCCCAACCATGTTGACTAACTCCTGCTTAAATTCCTAGTTACATCTAAAGTGTTACTCCCACATATATTCATTTCCTGACCCCTTCCCCAACACACAAGACTGAGTGCACTTCTCCTCTCTTATGACTGTTTGGGACCAATAGCAGTGGGCATTCTTATCAACCAAACATTAATTCACATCTTCCTTCTTCTTAACAGAATCTGAAAATTAACCATCTTCACTCATAAATACAGGTACTCAGAGGAAACTAACCTACCTCCAGCATGAGGGATGAACTTGGCTTCCTTCAAGCCTTTGTTAAAATTTCAGGGTATCATCCAGCTATTCCCAAACACAAATTTCAGTAGTTTAGGACAACCACAGTTTGTTGTTGATCATGATTATGTGGGTTGGCTAGTCTAATCTTCTTGTCTGTGCCAGCTCAGCTGGAGCTGGATAGTCTAGAATGATCTCAGTTGGATGGCCTTCAGCCTCAGCTGGGACTTTAGCTAAAATGGTTTAGAAAGCTGAAAGCTCTAGCTCCACTTGGACTCTCATCCTCCAGCAGGCAAAACTAGGCTTTTACACTTGGTGGTAGAGGGTTCCCTAGCAACAAGAGAGGGCAAACACCATTGCATAAGCATTTTCAAGCCTTTGCTTTGTTTATAATTTTTAATGCCTGTTAGCCAAAGCAAATCACATGACTAACCCTATATTTAAGACACAGGGAGAGAGAGTCTACTTCTCGGGCACCAAAGTTGCACTGCAAAGAGGTGAGTGTATAGGAATGAGAAGAACAACAACATACTTCATCAATAAGAACTACAGTGATCACTCTATTTAAAATTGTGGCTTAGCGCCATCCTGATCCCCTTTGATATGCTCTACTTTTCCTTGTTTCCATAGTGTATGTCACATCCCAACACACCTTGATATTTACTTGTTAGGTCTATTGTTTATTGTTCTTTCTCCTATAAAATATATGTTCCTAAGATAGAAATCTTTGTTCACTAATTAGTCCACACAGGAGAGTTCCTGACACTTAACAGGGCTTAATAAATATTATCTGAATGAATGAGTGAAAGGACCATCAACAGTCTGAGGCCAATGGGAGTCTCATATTCAGCCAGAGGAAGTATCTCAAAGGGAATGCAGATAGAAAAATCCCCAGCAATGGGGAGAGTCTAGCTTGGAATGATTCCCCAAAGAATCCATTAAACTATTCTGAGAAACAAATTTCCATCTGAAAACATGTAAACAAACACACAAAACAACAGCAATCGTAACCTGAAAATCTGGCACCAATTCATGACAGCATTAGTCAAATTATAACTTCCCTGCCTCTTTAGAGTGAGAAGCATAAATCAGTGGAAAAGAGAAGAGGCCAACCAAATCCTCTCCGACTAAACCATTAGTCAATGGCTAACCTACAACAGAACTGAGCTGAGCTAAGGGAAGTAGCTGGAACTCAGATGAAGTATAAAGTTTCAATTATCACACAAAATGAATGAGAACAGTAAATTGCTGACCAGAAAATTTTGATTGTCCATCAGAGATAGAGAAGTCACGGAACTATTCCAAAATTTTATCCAGGGGAAGGGAAAATACTTAAAAGAACAGTGTGTGGAGGGTGAAATAAAAGTGCTTTATGATTACATCACATAAGCCATACTTGTCAAACATAATGTTTACATTGCCTTTCCCTTAGTGAGAGATACAGTTGCAAAATGACTAACTTTTTTGTCATTGGAATCCCTTCTACATGGAGGAAAGGGATGCTTATCAGAGATAGGAAAGAAGAGAGCTAACATCTATTGAATATATTCAAGGGAATAGAAGCAATCCAAGAATTATTTCATAAAATCTTTCCCAAAAGCTATAAGCTAAGTATTATTATCATCATTTTATATGTGAGGAAATCGAAGCACAGAAAAACTAATGCGTAGTTCAGACAGGAAGTGGCAGAGCTTGGTTTAAAACTGGGTTTTTGCTGACCCTAAATGCCATACTCTTCTGTTATAAGCCACAGCCTTCCACACTGAAGCAGATTCAAATATAAATCCTCTACTCAATTAGTATATAATCTTGCAATATCATAAGACCCTGGGGAGTATCCATAAATCACTACCATACAAGGTCCTAAGTATTTTAGGAGAGGCACTGGGAAGTCAGAAGAGGAAGAAATTACTTCCAGCTGAGGATCAGGGAAAACTTCCCAGAGGAAATGGAATTTTAATTTCGCCTCATAATTATTGACAGGGTGAATGCTCTGGTTGGTTTTCCTTCCCTTCTTTCCTATCTTTGAGAATATTGAGTCATATTTACTTTTTTTTTCCAAGTGTTTAAATAATCAACTGAACTAAAAGTAACTTAGACCCTCTCTCTTCTTTTTTCCTTCCTAAATTTATCTTCTTTTCTTTCACCAAACAAAATCTAAGTGAAAAGAATAGAGGGTAGACTCCACCCACCACGTATATATATGACATATTCACTCTTAAAGCAGTTTTATTTCCCACTTGCTATTGAAATGATCTAAAAATGAGTATAAGTACCTAAATCATTATAAATTTTATTAATTATAATGTTTACATGTTTTGACAATTATAATTATTATTTCTAGCATTTTCCTGATTCTAAATTTTTAAGTTGTTTATAATGTTAAATTGGCAATATTAATTATATCCTTTCAAGCTAGAGGAAAGAGCAAACATGTAATAAACATCACTGTACATATCATAAACTCTAAGTCCAAATGTCAAAAAGGTATAGTTAAACATGAAAATTGAAGTGATTGAAAATTACAGAACACTTTATTTTGCCTAAAAATACATATTTAAAAACATAAATACAATAATCATATACTCTAACTTTATAAATTAATGTATACAGATAATGGTGCAAATTTATGTCACACTATAAATGGCTGTTTGTATCTTGTATAGCTTTTCATTAACCATGAATTTCAGAGTCCACTATGGGATAACAGGCCAAATCTGTTCGATGTGAATTGATCAACCATAGAATCCAAAATTCTGTTTAACCAAACCTAATTCTCCTGAAGAGACTAATACAACTGGGTCTTAAATTGAAATCAAACTTAGCAATGAGAATCAGATGAGTCCAACAATTTAACTTTGCCTAATTTGGACACAGTCACAAAATGTGATTTATGAATTACATAAATGAAGATTTACCTCTTCAACCAGATTAATAATTAAATACAAAGAAATAAGGAAAACATTTGATACTATGTACCAGACCCTTTATATTATCATTTTATTAAAAGAGTGGGAGAGCTGGACTTTGAACACACATAGTCTTGGGGCACCTGGGTGGCTCAGTCAGTGAAGCATCTGCCTTCAGCTCAGCACCCACAGGGTGCTGGGATCGAACCCCATGCTGTGCTTCCTGCTCAGTGGGGAGTCTACTTCTCCCTCTCCCTCTGCCCCTCCACTGCTTGTACACTCACACTCTCTGTCAAATAAATAAAAAAACCTTTAAAAAAAATGAATGCACATAGTCCATTCCCAGAGCCACTCACTGAGCCACTAGACTATGGGCCTCATACTAGGGGAGAGCTAAACTTTTGTACCAATAAAAAATTATTGATTCCACAGTATTGCAAGACTTTGAAATTGCTATTTTACTATGTGTAACACAGTTTGAAATGTACAGAAAGTGACAGAAGAGTTTGAACCAAGGGTACTGTTTTACCTTGGATCTTTTTGAAAACTCTAATACATATTTAAGAGCACTTGAAAAAGAAAAAAAAAAAAAAGCTCTTCTAATAGTTCAACTTTAAACATATTGCCTTAATCCATCTAGTAATGAAACCAGTCTTCCCCCCAATTTCCTTTTTCTTTTTTTTTTTTTTTCACAATTAGCAATGTAAGACTGAAATGCATGTGATGCCCAAGGTTTACAAAAACACATCACCCCACTGTACCAAACAGCTCCAACTTCAGCAAAGGCTGACCTTCAAGTCTTGTCAGTATCCCATTCATGGTTCACGGTGACTTCCTCTCTCCTTCTCTGCCACCACTTCTAGAGGTTCATCTTTTACCTAGTAGGGTATCCACAAAGAGCCCTTGGGTTGCACACGCCACAGGGACAGCTCAATAAAGTCGTCGTCCTGGTTGTGTACTGGTTGTAGAATGGCAAGCACTGTGCTGGAGTGGTAGTTGCTGTCACTTTCTGCTTGATTTAACTCATCAACACCCAGCGTTGGACACCTCTAAGAGACCCCAAATGCATTGCCATCATTGTCCCCCAAATGGACTTTTGTAGTAATTTCTCTTGATGCAGATCCAGGAATAAAATTGCTGGGCCAGGGCGCCTGGGTGGCTCAGTTGGTTAAGCGACTGCCTTCGGCTCAGGTCATGATCCTGGAGTCCCAGGATCGAGTCCCACATCGGGCTCCCCGCTCAGCGGGGGTCTGCTTCTCCCTCTGACCCTCTTCCCTCTCGTGCTCTCTGTCTCTCATTCTCTCTCTCTCAAATAAATAAAATCTTAAAAAAAAAAAATTGCTGGGCCATAGTTTATATGTTATATAACTTGGCCAATAACTACCTAGACTAACTTCCCAGAACAGCTGCATCATTCCTGCCAAAAATGCATGAAAATTCTTACTGGCTATCATTATTCTGAGAGTGGTTGTCCCTAACTTAAGATCTATACTTAGGGATTTTCCCTTTATAAATTTCCTCAATTTAGCAATATTTGTATCTTGCAGCTTTCACACTATTTTTGTCTTCTTTCCCTGTCTCCCACCTCCAACACAGTGTTGAAGTTATTTAGAATTTATTTATCTCAATCTGCACTTTTAAAAAATAATCATAATATCCTCTGGTTTTTTGGCCACCATTCTTCATGTACCTCTTATAGCACCCTGGTGCTTTTAGATGTCGTCTTATTTCAGTACATCCTCCAAGAGCTTTTCAAAGTGGGTCTCCATATGGTAATTATTCTCAGGTCTGATAGGATATAAAGCCCTTGGTTCTACCATGTGATTATGGTGTTAAGAAGGCTGATATAAATCTAAATATTTTTTTCCTTGGTAGCTTCCATTCTCCTTGGAAGCATTTTCGATTTGCCTTTCTTTGATAGAATACATCTAGGTGATAATAATAGCTAATACTAAAATAGTGATTATGAACAAGGCACTATTCTAAAGGCTTTACATATATTAACTCTTTTACTCCTCACTGTATTTTTTTAAGATAGTAAAATAGACATTTTACTATCCTCATCTTATTGATTGGTAAACTGAGGTACTGAAAGTTTCACTTTATGTAGTATTTCAAATAAAAGGTAAGTTGTCTTTTTTTAAACTCTGCGATATTAATATTCTTTATTTCTTCAAATATATCTTTCCTTTGTCCCCCACCATGACCATCACCACCTTTTTTCTGAGATTATTATTAGCTGGGTATTAGCACTTTAATTTTTATTTATTTATTTCTATTCTCCAAATCTCTTAATTTATTGTTAAATTTTCTTTTTTTTTTTTTTTTCAGTTACCTTCTAAGAGTGTTCAATCTGATCTTCCAGCAAATGAATTATTTCTTCAGCTGAACCCTTTGGATTATTTATCCTATTTCTTCTGTTTTTTATTTCAACTATTATAATTTTCATGTTTACTGTGTCCACTTGGTTCTTTTTTATGACTTCTCCCACATTTAATTAACACCTTCCTTATCACTGAGTATTTCAGTTAAACTTATTTTAAATTCTTAGTCCATCTGTTCCAAGAATTCTGTTTCATATGCTATTAGTTTATCTCCTTTCTTTTATGGGTTGTTTTTGCCAATATCTACATTTTTTCTTTTCTGAGCTCATGATATTGTCTGATAATATGAATTAGGGAATGGCCTAAGTTATATTCCTCCTGATGAATCTAAACCAAAGGGAAAGAGTAAGAATAAGTGGGGACCTCAACGTACCAAAGAACCTCTCTCAGTCACTTCTGTCTGCCGCCACTCCACTTGACAAATCTTTTGAATCATTTTTCAAGATGGCACAGTCTCCTTAAAATAAAACCCACTAGTCCTCCTATTTTTTAATTTATTTTTGTTTATTATGTTATGTTAATCCCAATTAAAAGCACCTAGGGAACAGAAGTAAGATCCTGGCAGCTGACGTCTGTTCCATTAGCCCCTCTGCAGCAGAACTTTTGCAGACCCTAATATCATGCCCTTGGCACTGCTAGGTCCAGGCTGTTGCTGTACATTTCTGTGCAGATGATGAGGCAATAACAGTCCCAAGTAATGTACAGAAGAACCAGACTCAAGAAAACTGAAAACCTCTAAACTCTTCCCACAGCTCAGGGGTTTCTCTTAGCTTTCACATCATTTCCAGATCCAGGCTTCTTTCTGCTTCTATAGTTTCTCCGGGAGTTTGGGGGAGGGAACAGCAGACTACGCTAATTCACTCTCTTCAGGAACCAAATGCCACATTTCTGATTTTTCTGCCTCTTCTATTTGGGAATGGGAGAGAAGAAAGAAAAACTCAGTCAATCTCATTTAGATTTAGACAAATGGCTGATCAGGCTTATTTCCAAACAGCAAAGCCCTTTTTGTGTTTCAGCCATTCAGGTTTCCTACAATCTAATCAGCCAGAATCACCTTTCCAGCTACCACACGATATGCTTCAATAACCTTCAAGCCCCTCTTTTTCTGGTCATGGAATCTTCTGGAGCCTAGATGTTAATTAATATATACATAAAGTCCTTGAGTTAATATATATATAAAGTCCATGAACTTAAATCCAGAAATTCCCATTTTTCAAGTTATTTCGGGCCTTACTTTGGATCTGACATTTTCAACTGGTTCTTTAACTTCAATCCTCCATAGCTTATTCAATACACTACACAGTGCTCTGATATTTTAAAAATTAAACAAACAAACAAAAAAACTCACAAAATCTTCCAAATGCTTTAGATTGCTTCTGATAAGCACAAAAGGAAATTCTCGCATTTTAAATTTGTTTTGGAAAACTGCAAAAGTCTCACCACAACCTTGGCTATTACAAGCTGAAGTTCAGGATAATCTAAATTCAGAATTTCTTCCTTCAAAACATTCTTACTGTTAATGAATTACGCAGGTATTGTACCTTCTGTGCCTTTCTGTTCAAAAGGAGAAAAGTTGTTTTTTTTTCATTTGGAGCAGAGTCTGTGATTACGGACCAACTAATTAACTTGTCTGATATGGAAGGGATGATATAATTTTCACTTCTAGCTTTTCTCTTCCATATGGACAGGGTTGCCGCTCATAAACACTGCGACTGCTGTTGGGCAAAAGCTTGTTCTAAGAACTTGCTTTAAGCTCATTTCTATACCTACCATTAAGCTCCCTTAGCAACAGAGAAAATTTTTAAAAGCCAGCCAAACTAAGTTACCAAGTTAAATTTCCACATATTCTTATTTATGAAAGGCAGGATTTTCCTCTAGCGATCTTCTGAACTTCCTTCCAGCCTTAAATATTTTTTATTATGTTAATCACCATACATTACATCATTAGTTTTTGATGTAGTGTTCCATGATTCATTGTTTGCGTATAACACCCGGTGCTCCATGCAGTACGTGCCCTCTTTAACACCCATCACCAGGCTAAGCCATCCCCCCACCCCCCCCAGAACCATTGGTTTGTTTCTCAGAGTCCATAGTCTCTCATGGTTTGTCTCCCCCTCTGATTTTCCCCCTTCATTCTTCCCTTCCTGCTATCTTCTTCTTCTTTTTTTTTTAAACATATAATGTATTATTTGTTTCAGAGGTACAGCCTTAAATATTTTAATAGACTATCACTGTTACTTAATAAAGTAAACCATGAGATGGGAAAGATACTGCAGCTGGTCATGACAAAACCATAGGAGAAAATAAGCCTTCAAAAAAATTCCAACTTCCGGGACATCTGGTGGCTCAGTCGGTTAAGCATCTGCCTCGGCTCAGGTCGTGATCCCAAAGTCCTGGGATCGGGTCCCACATCAGGCTCCCTGCTCAGCAGGAAGCCTGCTTCTCCCAATGCTGCTCCCTCTGCTTGTGCTCTCTCTCTCTGACAAATAAATAAAAATATTAAAAAAAAAAAAATTCCAACTTCCTTAGGAGAGTATGGGGGCGGGAGGTTCTTACTCTGCCATTTTAGTTAGAAGTTTATTTCTCTCTCACAAAAGGACAATTCCTGTTGTTTTACTGATTAGATATTACTCTTTGTCAAAGTACAGAATCAAATGAAAACTAAAACTACTTAGCTACTTGGTTAAAAAAATAAAAATAAACACCGTAGCAAAAAAACATTTAAACATTTTGCAAAGAAAAAGAAAAAGCCAGCAGCACGCTTCTCATTGATCCAAAAGAAATTTGTCTGAGCCAGATATGGATAGACACATATACTTCATCTAAAAAAAATATTAGCAATTACATTAATATTGATATAAATAATAAATTGCCTTCCAAAGAGGAAAGCATAGACTACAAAAAAGACATCTGTGGTATATATCTCAAGAACTCAAAATTTAGATCCAGGACATAAGGGATGTTGGTTGATTTATAAAATGCCTTACTGCCTTGGGTTCGAGTGCCAGTAAGTATTTTAGATCATCAATACCATCATCCTTAATATATGCTTCTTAGAACATTTAAATAGCTGATGCAGTATTTCATTTATGACCATCCCGAGTAGGGTTTCTTTATGCAGTCTACAGACCCGGAGAGGGGAAGAAGACAGGTCAAATGATTAAATGCACCCTGGAAATTGGCAGTATTTCTGACCCTGCCTCAACCTGTAGTGTGACCTTGAGGATCTGCCATGAAATCTCAGGACCTAGAATGTACCTTAAAGATGTCTAATCTGGCCCCTCCAGGGGCATGTGCTCTCCTCTGGTAATAGTTCTAAGGCTTTGCTCATACCTTCTATATCACACTTGGCAGATAATAACCCACATTATTAAGTCTTACAATACGTCAAGCACTGTTCTGAATGCTTTGCGTGAATCAGCACATCCAATGCTCAACATAGGCCAATGAGGAAGGTACCATTTCTGTTCTCATTTTTCAAGATGAGGAGGTTGATTTCTAAATGTTTTAAGTTACTTTTCCAAATTTACACCGAAACTTAAAAGCCTGCACTTTAACATTTGAACTCTACGTTGGGTCATTTTGAACTCTAACAATTAAGCTCCTTGAGGGCATAGACGTTGTTTACATTTGAAATATTTTTCAGCACTTAACACACTTTGGGGTAGGCATACAAAAATACTGGTTAATGAATTCATTCTATGGAAGGTGAATGCACTTGATATTCTCTGCCCCACCAGATCTTTCTACCATTTTCCACTCTGCTCTGGGCCCCTAGGAGGCTGACTTCCATAGCCTGTTTCACCCAGGCACCTTTCCCCTCTGGCTTCTGCTTAGGTCTGGCCAGTGGAGAAGGCAGTGGAGACTGAAAGGTGGGAGGAGAGAGATCCTATTCTCCCCAGCTCCATCACTTTGGTGCAGGAGATTGTCAGTGACTGTGTTGCTCAATAGAAAGCCACCGAGTCTGCCAGGCAGGGCAGCTAAGGCCCCAGTCACTGCTCTTTGTGGGTCTCAGTAGCTACTCCCTCCCCTGGCCCTTCAGATAATGCAGCCCCACTTAGCCCAAAGGTGAATCTTCATCCTTTTTTGATTTCCCTTAACCTTTCTCACAACTTTACAATGAGGACCTTTGTTAAATTCCTTTTAATTACTCTGTTTGTGCATGCCATCTGTTTTCTGCCAGGCACCTGACTGATAAATAAAAATAAAGCTTAGAAAAATTAAGCAATTTGCCAATGAATGCCATTTATATCTCTCTAAGCAGATAGTGACATTATTGAGCACTTCCTATATGATGGGCACTATTCTAAATGCTAACAGCCACTTGGCAATAGAGTTTAGGATGTTCTTTAAGAAATATATCCCATTCTTTGTTCATATATTGCTTGTTTTCATCATAACTGGTGTGAACTTTGGCAAGTCATTTAATTGTCTGTACCTCACCTGCTCATCTTTAGAAGAGAGATAATGATACCTACTTCACAGATTTGTTACCAAGTACCTGGCACATGGTGAGTACTCAGTCAATTCCTATTAGAATCTGGTGCTCTGAACTTGGAGTCACTGCCATTTTCCAAAGAATTTGAGCCTTTTGGAAACAAAAGAACAAATAAAACAGTATCATTCAATCTACTTTCAATTTCATTCAGACTTTCCAGTGTTAGACTGACTTGTCTACAGTGCATATTGCTTAGATGTTTTAAGGAATGCTAAGGCATTTTAATATAGACCCCCAAAATATGTAAATATAAATCTACTATCCATAGGACACATGTAACATAGTCTGAAGTCCAATATAGAAAACATTAAACTAAACTAAACTAACATTTAATATGTTAAAATGGTAACTTACCCTAAATGCTGTGGATAAAGAGAAATGAACCATATTGACTGTACTGGCCAAAAATTATTGAATATTGGCAATTAAGTGGTCTTTGGAAATTATTAGGCCACCCTCTCTTATTCCAGTGATAAGAAAACTGAGGTTCAGAAAGGCAAAACCAGATATAAAGAGTTGCACCCAGGCCAGTGACTAGTTAGGTCTCAGAATCAGACCTCTTAACTCCTAAACAAATAGTGGCTCTTACCCTAAAAACGTTGATCTCTTCAAGTTCCTCATGTAAATATTAGTTTAATTGTTTTAAGTCCATTTCTTTTTATATCTTCTGCCATCCAAATATTCATATTTTCACCCAGGTAAACAGTTTCTTAGAATAATATTTGGTGTTATAGTGAATAGGATTCCTGAGAGTATCTAAAATATAAGACAAGTGGGGTGCCTGAGTGGTTCAGTTAAGCGTCCGAATCTCTTAAGTATCTGACTCTCAATCTCAGCTCAGGTCTTGATCTTAGGGGCCATGAGTTCAAGTCCCACAGTGGGTTCCATGCTGAGCATGGAACCTACTTAAATAAAATAAAATAAAGTAAAAAATAAAATAAAATAAAATATAAGACAAGTACCCATGGCACAAAGAAATACAGACAACTTCCATTTAAAAAAAATTAAATAGGAATTCTTATCCTTTGGGATTTCATAGGCCAGTATTTTTTTAATCAAGTTATACACCTATTAGAATGGCCTAACTCTGGAATACCGACACCACCAAATGCTGCCAAGCATGTGGAGCAACAGGAACTTTCATTCATTGCTGATGTGAATGTAAAATGGTATAGCTATTTTATAAGATAATGTAGTAGTTTCTTGCAAAACTAAACATATTCTTGGGGCGCATGGGTGGCTCAGTTGGTTAAGCGACTGCCTTCGGCTCAGGTCATGATCCTGGAGTCCCGGGATCAAGTCCCACATCGGGCTCCCTGCTCAGCAGGGAGCCTGCTTCTCCCTCTGACCCTCCCCCTCTCATGCTCGCTCGCTCTCTCATTCTCTCTCTCAAATAAATAAATAAAATCTTAAAAAAAAAAAAAAACTAAACATATTCTTACCATACAATCCACCAGTAGTGCTCCTTGGTATTTACCCAAGAGAATTAAAAATTTATGTTCACACAAAAACCTGCACATGGATGTTTTTAGCAGCTTCGTTCATGATTGTCAAAACTTGGAAGTAACCAATATGTTCTTCAGTAGGTAAATGGATGTATTCCACTGTCTAGTATATTCCACTGCGGTACATCTAGACAATGGAATATTATTTAAAACTAAAAAAAAAAAAAAAAATGCTAGTGAGCCATGAAAAGACATGGGGGAAACTTAAATGCATCTTACTAAAGTGAAAGAAGCCAATCTGAAAAGGCTACATACTGTATAATTCTAACTATATGACATCTGGAAAAGGCAAAATCATGGAGGCCATAAAATGATCAATAGTTGCTGGAAATTGGGAGTGGGGATGGAAGGGTGGGAAGGCACAGGTGGAGAATAGAGGATTTTTAAGGCAGTGAAAATACTCTGTATGATTCCATAATGATAGATACATGTTATACATTTGTCCAAACCCATAGAATGCCCAACACTAAGAGTGAACCATAATGTAAACTATGGACTTTGGGTAGTTAAGATGTGTCAGTGCAGGTTCATCAATTATAACAAACGTACCACCATGGTGGGGGATGTAGATAATGGGGGAGGCTATATATGCGTAGGTTCAGGAGGTATATTAGAAATCTCTGTACCTTACCATCAGTTTTGCTGTGAACCTAAAACTGCCCTAAAAAAAAAAAAAACTTAATAAAAATGTAATAAAAAATTAAGCCACTAACAAATTGTTGATAAATCTTTTTCATATATATATATATATATATATATATATATATATATATATATATATGCATATGTATGTGTGTGATATCTAATCCATGAAACAGCGGGAATTATCCATTTGCAAGAGAGACATAGCTGCTAAAGTGGCAGAGTAAAAAAATAGCCCCACCCCCCTCCTTTCAGCAGCTCGGACTTCTATGTTTTGCAAATGTCATTTACAACTTCTTCTATCAAATAGGAGCACAATAATATCAGAGTAAGACAATTATTCCCTGCTTCACATCACAGGATAGAACAATTTCTGGGACCAGCTATTGGAAATTACAACTATATAACACTGATATAAAACATTAAGTGCATAATTTATATATCATCATGAACTAAGAATCTTAGGATGATTTTGATTAACTGAGCTCACTCCTCACACTTACATGCAAGTATTTGAGGGTTATGTTGTCATTCAGATCTCTAGTTTCCTGTCCCATCCTGGAATGAAATAGAAAGCTCTGCTTCAGGGCCCTTCACTTTTTCCCTAGAGACAAAACTACACAAAATTCAAGAGATTTCATCCCTGAGACAATCTTTTCCAATTGAACAGCTATTTTTCTGCCATTACCAACTAGTCTCTTAAGAGTTTGAAAAAAAATAGCTTTAATTATTTCCTTCCAGTGATCTGGCCATACAGGATCATCCTGCTTTACTTACTTAGTTTTAACCAAAGTGTGATTCCCTGTCAACAAACTTTGTTAATTCTGCAGTTCACAGGGGAATAGAAAGGACCAAATTCTGAATTGTCATGAATTGTCATTATTTCTTTTTTTCCCCAATTTATGTTCTTGTTGTGGCCAGAGGGTTAATTCCTATCACAACTGGCACAAAGGCTTTTTTGTCCTCTCAAAGCCTCACCTCTCCAGAGCATATTCTTGTAGATACTTATCATCAAAAGTTCTATAATCAAGGATTATAGCAAGACAGGATTGTATGTGACAATCTTGGGTAGAGATGCCATGGGAAGTTACTCTCCCATCCTTAGTGTGAGTAAATCATAGACAGCAAAATGGACCAAAACATCATATTATCATAATACAAGATCTACCTAATCCACCTCTTTGACTTGATTTCCTACCACTCTTACACTAATTCATCCACTTCTCTGTTATCTGGCCCCCTTGATGCTCCTGTACAGCAGCAAGTATGCCTCTGCCTAATAGTTTCGTACCTGCTCTTTCTTCTGCTTAGAACACACTTTTCCCCATAAAGCAATGATATTTACCCCCTTACTTTATTTGGACTTTGAATGTCATCTTAGATGACACTATCTAAAGATAGCACCACCCATCATGCTCTAGATACATTCCCTGCTTTATATTTCTTTAAAGATTGTATTATCTGCCATTATATTTTATTACCTTATTTGCCGATTGAACTCATTCTTACTACATCATAAGATCTGGGAGGACACAGACTTTGTTGATTTTGTTTTTCACTAAATTTCTGTTTCTAGAATGAGGCCAGGTAGTTCATACTCTGTATTTGTTGACTGACAAGGTGAATAAATTGTTATTACCAATCTTTCAGTTTAAGTATTCATTTGCATTGTTCAGAATTGGATTACTTCCTCTTTTATCCATTCCCTCAATAGTTTTGGGAAAGAACTACCAATTATATCCATGTATAAAGAATAACTCCTAGATATGTAACAAATCAATGAACTAAAGTCTCTTAATCTCCCAGACCTCAACAGAGCATTTTAGGGCTTCCTCAGATCACTAAGGTGAGTATTCATGTTGGTTAAGCTCTTAGGTGGAAGAGATATATGAAAGTGCAGAGGAAGATATTAATATGTGACTCTGTCTTCTTTCAGCAAGCTTTATATTTTGCCTTATGGCCAAAAGCAGTGGGGTTCTGGCAATCTATTTTCTTTTTCTTTTCTTTTTTTTTAAGATTTTAGATTTATCGGGGCACCTGGGTGGCTCAGTCATTAAGCGTCTGCCTTCGGCTCAGGTCATGGTCCCAGGGTCCTGGGATCGAGCCCCGCATCGGGCTCCCTGCTCAGCAGGAAGCCTGCTTCTCCCTCTCTCACTCCCCCTGCTTGTGTTCCCTCTCTCGCTGTGTCTCTCTGTCAAATAAATAAATAAAATTAAAAAAAAAGATTTTAGATTTATCTATTTGACAGAGAGAGAGAGAGACAGCGAGAGAGGGAACATAAGCGGGGGAGTGGGGGAGGGAAAAGCAGACTCCCCGCTGAGCAGGGAGCCCCATGCAGAACTCAATCCCAGAACACTGGGATCATGACCTGAGCTGAAGGCAGATGCTTAACCGACTGAGCCACCCAGGCATCCCTGGACTTTAGTAACTCAGTGTTACCCCCTGAAAGTCATATGATATTATGACCTAAGGAGCAGCAACTTCAAAAATCAGACAAACCTGGGTTCACCTCCCCAACTCTGCTACTGTGTGATTTTGAGTCTATTACTCACCCTTTTCAAGTTTCAGCTTCTTGAAGATAATATTGGAATTTGTCAAAGGGTTAGTAAGAAGGTTAAAGAGAATATGTATAAAGTGAGAGACACAGAGTAGACACTTAAGATACATTTGGCTTTTGTTGTTGTTGTTGTTAAAAGCTGAAAACCACCTATTATGCATGGTCCAGAACCGTGGTGTTTAAACTGTAGACCACAGATTCCTTGAGTTCTATGGAGGAATCTAATTATTTGGATGGGGGTGGGTGGTGGTAGTGGGTAATGAGGGGATGTGAGTGAAGTTGGCTAGTGAGGCAGAGAGCTCATGCATGAGACCTTCAGTCAGAGCAATTCCAATGTCATGTGGTTTGTTTTTTATTTTGAAATTTCTGATTTATTTAAAACAGTCTCTAATCCCAATGTAGGGCTTGAACTCATGACTCTGAGATCAAGAGTCACTTGCTCTACTAACTGAGCCAGCCAGGCACCCTTGTATTTTGAAATTCTGAATGTAATTTTCTTTATTTTCACAAAGAAAACACATTTGGATTTTGTATCTGATTATGTAAAAATACATGATTATTTAAAAACTCTTTAATCATGTATAAAAGCATACCTATGGCTAATTCACTGAGAGAGATTCAGTAGAGTGCAAACAGGAAGTAGTGTTCCTCTTTCTAGCTACATCTTTAAATTGTTCCTATTGACCTGTTTTCCCCTATATCTAAATGAAATTTCAGGCTGATCCTATAACTCTCCTAGTCATTTTCATAAACTAACAGGTGATCTCAATTTTCAGAGAATTAAAAAGTCTATAATGCTGCCTATGAACAAAATTTCAGCATCTTATTAAATTTAAAACTTCAGCCTTTCCTGCCAGAGATTGCTTCAACAAGATTCTCATTTTCACATATTTTATGAGTGCCTTTGTCCCTTATATTCTGGAACACATGCCCAGCTTTCTGATGGTTTTCTGAAACACAAACACTTGAGGAGTTGGGAGAAAATGCATCCTCTAACTTGAAAGGAGGGACAAGACCTCAGTAATCTGATAAAAAAAAAAAATCCCTTTCTC